AAATTTTCTCGGAAACAACAAGGCAGACAACTACAGGTTGTTGGTGGAAAACCTCCTCAAGGCATACAAAATCCTTGGTTGCAACATGTCACTAAAGATACATTTTTTGCAGTCTCATCTAGATTTTTTTCCACCAAACTGCGGAGCAGTGAGCGATGAGCACGGCGAGCGATTTCACCAGGGCGTTGCAACAATGGAGAAACGCTATCAGGGCAAATGGAGCCCATCAATGCTTGCAGACTGTTGCTGAACAGTGACAAGAGATGCTCCATTTAATGAATACAAGAGTCAAGCCAAGAAGCGCCGAGTAGACACTGAATAGGACTAAACTATGTACATAATAGTTTTTTGCCTTTTGTTTCATAATAAATTGTATTTATATAAACCTTTTGCTGATTTTTAAAGTGTTACATAAACAGGACAAGTGAAATATTATCATGAAAAGCAACCATAAACACATGAAAAGACCTAGGTTTACAATTTATGATTAAAACTCTACTATCTACACAATACACATAGACATAAAATGTAAAAACTTAAATATCTTAGAAACAGTAGCCAATGAGTTGTTTTAATTGTCATATTTGAATTCAGCACATCAAAATACATAATGAATAACACATTTTATCTCTGAAGCAGACGACTTCTCAAAAATTGTAGACCAGTGTTACTTAAGGAGGTTGTGAGATCTGTGTCATTGGAGGTTTTTAAGAACAGATTAGACAAATACCTGTCAGGGATGGTCTAGATAATACTTAGTCTTGCCTCAGTGCAAGGGGACTGGACTAGATGACCTATCAAGGTCCCGCCCAGTCCTACATTTCTATTATTTCTATGCTTTACCCATGCACATTTGGTAATGAGTTGCTTCATAATAAAACAGCATGTGCTTGCATATACAGAGAAGAAAAATGTTGAACAATATTGAGTGTTTATGGCTTGATTCTGTGAGGTGCTGAGTTTTCTTAGTTCCTAGTAGGTTCACTGACAATTGAAGGTGCTCCGCATCTCACAGGAATATTAGAGCCTTCAAATGAAAATTTGGCAAGGAGATTCTTACTAGCAGAAGAAAAATCAGACAAATTATTTTGAATCCAAAGTTACATAGGCATATTGGGCCAGATCCTCAGATGGTGTAAATTGGAATAGATCTACTGAGGTCAAGACAGCCAAGACAATTTACACCAACTGAGTTTGTGGCCACCAGTTTTTGCTTCACAGCAAAGCAAGAGAACAGGAAGAAAGCATGATTTTCCAACTTCCTAATAGCTCCCTTTCCTACTCTGAGATGTGACTGATACTTGTTTCCCGCAGGACCTCTACAAATACCATTATGTTAATTCTATGCCTGCACCAATGAGCCAACAGTCCAAGTCTGTTTGCTGCTAAAAAAATAAATAAATAAAATTGCTGGAACAAGCACACATTGCAATTTTATTTAAATACATGCACACAGACATATAGACACATGCATACATATATACACACACATACATGTTTAAACTAACATTATAATTTATATATTTATAACAATTTACAAGATTGCATATTTTATATGTGAGTGTGCATACACACTCTGCTTGCCTCTTTGTAATTCCTGTATTCTTTGTAACCTAAGCATTTTAAGTAGTTTCATTATACTGACAGAGAAATAATCAGTATTCTTAAGAGATGCTAACATTTATCTGAGGATGTCTCACTTAGAAAATAAAGTGTTTCTTTGAAGTTGAAGATTTAAAATTTAAAAAAAGTGTACTGGAACAACATTCTAAGATTTTTGTACACACATTTTCTAGTACTCAGTGCACCACATAATTAGCATTAGATCATACAAATTATCCTAACATTTGTCTTTGCCATCATTTGGGGCTGTGTACAACAAATGCTCTACATAAATAAAACTGATGCACTTTTCCAACTGAAGGCAGCAGAAAGAATGATTGTCTTTTTAAAATACCATTGAAATGAAATAAGATACAAAATAGATGTGCACTTTTCCAACTGAAGGCAGCAGAAAGAATAATTGTCTTTTTAAAATACCATTGAAATGAAATAAGATACAAAATAGATGTGCTCCACTACGTTGTAGTTTAATATTAAACATTATTTATTGCTATTACTATTTATACAATGCCTTAGGTGTGCATGGATTTTACATAACATGTGTATTAAGAAAGTGTTCTCTCAGACTGACTGATAAACATGACACTATTTTGTGTTTTAGATTAGAATGAAAACAGATCAGAAGTTATAAAATGCTTATTTAAAATATCTAGTTTATTGTAAAATAATTTAAAAACTGTTTTAATCACACTAACATAGTCTAGTAAATATACACTTTGTCATAATGGCACAACAACATCAACCAAAGGCTCTCAGCTTGGCCTCATGCCTCACATAATAACATCTGTGGGTGAAATCCTGGCTCTACTGAAGTCAATGGCAAAACTTCCATCCTTTATTTCAGATTTCTATCTATGACTGGATTTGAACTCCCAGTGCTTGGGTGTGGTTCAGATTTTATAGCCAGTACATTCTCTTTTGAGCCATTCATGTTCTGGCAAAACTCTTCTTGACTTCAATAAGGCCAGGATTTCACCCTGTGTGGTTGGTTATTACAGAATATCCATGCATTCCGGAGTCTGACAACTTAAAGGGACACTACCAACTTAAAAAACATCACTGCTTTGTCTGAATTTTTCCACTACTGCTGTGACAAGTAACATTTTAAATTATTGTAACTGAACGAGATTAACAATGTTTGATGTATTTATATGGTTGCTTTGTGAACTTGATAGCTCTTCAAGCACATTTTCCATAGTTTCTCAAATGTAGTCTTATATACTCTGGCTCCTCTTTCAGTTTGTGAAAAACAGGGCAGACAGAAAATATATGTGATTGTAAAACCATGATTATTAGCCGAAGGATTTTGGTTCACGTATAATACCAAAAACAACTTTAAATTTTCATTTTTAAATGACTACTAGGTTTCAGGATGACAGCATGCATTTAATTTTCATAGCAAGTGCGTTCTTCAACAAAACACACTTAATATTGCTAAGTTCTCACTCATTATGACACTGTCATTACCAATGTAGCTATTCTTACACTGTACTATATATCTCTGAGAGAATACTTAAGGCTGCCTAGTGATCTCCATTGGAATAGCACCAAAGTTACTTTCTGGCAAAGACATCTGGCAACAAACAGAACAAATTACTGTAAAATGTGACATGTTAAGCTGCATCTACATAATTTAAGTGGTCCATTTTGGTCTTTTGTGGTTAGATACCCCAGATTCATACAAACACACTTATCTAATTTAGGCCAAATAGTGGTTTTAATACCCCACTGACAATGAACCACTACAAGGAATTCTAGACAGAATTCAAAACAAACTGACCTGTATCAATAAACTGTTGGTTTTGTTCATCAAAGCAGACAACAATGACAGCCAAGTATTACAGTAAGGAAATGGTACTTAACAGATTTGTCTTTGGGTAAAAGAATTCATCATTCAGTAAATGAGGTTATAAACCTGAACACTTATTTTCGATAGCTCATATAAAACTGCTCACTGCCTATATTTCCAAAGTGTGGAATGGCTTTCTGAAAAACTGTTAGCCCTTGAAATATGCATCTGCCTTCAAGTAACAACACAAGGAGAGTGTTTTAAAAAATGCTTTCCAAACATTAAGATCGTTAACATGTGGGCCAATAAGAGTTTGAAGGGCTCCTTCTAGATTTAATGAAGTTTGCCTGTTCATAAATACCCTTAAAAAATCCTTCTGAATCAAGTAAAAAAAGTCCCTATCAAAACACGATGTCAAAAGACATGTGAACACTGTTTTTGTCCCATCCAGCCTTGGGATGGAGTAAATAAAATGCATGAGCAGCAGCTTAAAGGAGTTTAATCACAGAGATGTCCCAGGACAGCTTTTGTCCCACAAGGCAAAGATGCTTATACAGAAATTACCCCAGATTCTCTGGGCGACAAAATAAGTAATCACGTTCTGCACAGACCTCAACACTTTAACCCTTCCTCCTCCCCGCGCCATACCAGCACTTTATTATTTACTCACCTAAAAGAAGAGGGGTTGCAAATGTCTTTGCACCTTTCAACAGAGGAAAAAATAAACAGCACCCGCTGCTGCTGCTTCACTAAGGAGAGACCTGGAATCTCTACCCTCCTCCGCTCGCTGCCGCCAGGAAATGCAGAGGATGGGGAGGGTCGTTCCCCCCGTCAGACACAGAGATGAGGACAGCCCACGTTAGGAAAGGGGGAGCCGGGGTCCCCCTAACTTACCGTTGCTGGGCTGGCATTTAGCTCCTGGCAGCTTTGCCCTCCTGCCCCCAGCTGAGTTCTTCATCCTCCAGGAGGCTGCCCCCTCCTGCCCACCGAACCAGCCACGCAGGGAAGAGGGCGAGCAGCCTGGGACTGATGCGCACAGGGGAGAGCGGGACCAGCCTCGGGAGGAGAGATGCGGGGTGTGGGGGGAGCTTCACAGCCGCTCGTGCAGAGTGGTCCCGGCGGTCCCGCCTCCTCTCCGGCCGGGATGTCAATCAGCAGCGGGCGAGCTGGCCGCTGCCCGGCTCCTGGGCACTCGGCGCGGTGCCACCTCGGGGGAGGCAGGGCGCGGGGCCCGGGCTTAGCGCCTTGCAACTTGTTCCCCGCCTCCCCCGAGCTCAGTGAGCCGCGGAGACCCGGCTAAGCCGAACACCCCCCCCCTCGAAAATGATAGGGGCTCTCTGGGGTTCGGGGAGCGGGGAAGCCGCTAGAACTAGCGCGGGAGATGGGGAGGGAGGCGGGAGCCTTGACAGGCAGTGCCAAGGCTCAGCGGCTACATTCCTCCCCTATGTTGTCTTCCCCTCTGGGCTGGGGGCGCAGCAGAGTGATAACCGCGGCCATCCTCTTCTCTCAGACTCCCCTGCCACATGCAAGGCCCTGGCATCAATCAGGTCCGACGCCATCCCCAGCACTGGCCTCTGAGCTCCTCCACTTCCTCCAGGAACGAGTAACCCACGGGTCAGTGCCTGGTGGGCATCCCCGTCTGTGCCCCCAGCCACAGGGGAGAGGCGTCTGTCCCAGTGCTCCGGGTTCCCCATTGTCAAAAGCCAGCCATGCAGCACGGAGACCCCCCAACTCCTCTTATCACCAGATAGTGCCTATCCTCATTTAAGGGCATGCTCCCACAAACACCCACTGTGTTACATGCCCGCATAATCAAAACAAACCCGGAGCTTACCCTCACACTGGAGGAGGCACACGTCACAACAAATCCAGAGGGAAATTTTGGAAGCCCGTGGTTGTAAAGGGATGCTGTACCTTGAAAGCTTAATTTGGGCCTTGGCTGTCCCAACTGCTTATCTAGTGCAGCCTAGGGAGCCCAAAAGCAGGGTATTAAGGGACCCATGCTTTAGTGCCTTCATGGCACACTACAGCTTCATTGGGATGCTCCACAATGTTTCCTAGCCGAGAGGCAGCTAAGGCTTAATTTCAGCTTTAAAAAGAGGAAGAGATGTATGAGCGGAAGAGAGGGACACAATCAACTGGGGTAGGTTTCAAGGGCTAGGACCCTTCCACACCTACAGATAATAATTCTCAACATAACCCTTCTCCTTCAGAGCTATCAAACTCTCCTATACCCCCTTTAAAGAAAAACGCCTGTTACCGATCCCTTCCAATCCATAATATTTGTTATACATAATTCCCCCAAGTCCCAGTGGCAAGCAACCCAACATAACTGCCTCTTAGTTAAAAATTTCTCTCATACTCGCTGTGTGACAATCATCCCAATTAGATCACTCACTGCTTTAGTGAAATTTTGGAATGTCCCCATATGAGCCTTCCCTCACTTTGGCTGTGGCCTTAAACATTTTAACAAAACAATAATTTGATCCCAGAACTGATCAATGTTGATAATTCCTGCTTTGATTTCTGGAAGTGTAAAGTTCTCTGGAAATTTTGTTTGTTTGTTTAAAGTCAACATGTGCTGTTTAGTAAATTACAGACACAAAAAAGTAAACAAATTTGCACACAAGAAAATATACATTTAAACATGTGATAGTGTAGTCCTGAGCAGATTTCAGAGCTATTTATGCCTTTTTACTAGTAACTTGAGTGGTAATGTAACTGTATGGTGTGTAACTTTTTGTTTATATTCCTTCTTATGTGTTTATACCTGTGTGCCAAATTATAGTAGTTACTGTAGCAGCACTTAAAAGATGGTCAACAGGTGCTGTTAAAAATTGCTCTTCTTGGAGCAACCAGCAGATATTCCTCTCAGCAAGCATTTGGGAAAACTTTCTTATTAGTCATGGTGGGTTGCAGGCACAGGGCACATAGAAGTGCCAGTGACTTTTATATTTAAAGAAAATGAACTCTGCTTTAAGGAGCCAACACAGTTATTTGTTTGTTGTTGTTGTTGTTGTTTTGTGACACTCTATTCAGTCTGTTTGTCCCTTACTGCACTGGCTTCATGGAGAAAGATATTAAGGGTACATCATTATCATAACTTTGTTGCCCTATCTTTAACACTCTCATTGTTATAAGATGTATATAAGATGAAATTAAAAAAAAAAAGCACATTTATGATATTCAAACTCAATAACCCAACTGGAAAGCCCTTTATTATGATTCAACAGCACTTCTCCAATTTCACGTAGCTCAAATTGCGTAGCTTAGATCAACTTTCCCCTGTAGTGTAGACAAGGCCTAAGTGAAGACAAGCCCTAAGAATAACTTTAAAAAGGAGATTGGGGAAGTGCTGTTGAGTCATAGTAAAGGGATGTTGTAGATAGCTTAGAAAGGGAGTGGAAAGTAAAAATACTGTAGTAGGTTAGGTAGAATTAATATCCTGAAATTCTTGGAAAGGAATAAAAGAAAAATGGGACAACAAAAAACAGAAGCATGATGCCAACTGAGACCTCATATATTTACATTTGTCTTATATAATGAGATAAGATATTGTGGAAATTTCCATGGCGGGGGGGGGGGGAGTTCATTACCCCTTTTTAAAAGATTATATTTTGCTTTTGAGTGAATGAAAAGGGCAGGAGCCCTCCTACACTCTAGAATATTTTTGTACAGTGTGGTACATATGAGGTAGAGGGCCATATGATTATCCATATTTAATCAAAATATAGCTTAACAGAAGGTGTGATGGAGAAGAAGAGAGCCTCTGTGACAGGAGAGAAGAGTACAAATGAGTATTTGATCGGTCATACTTTCACTTTTTTGGTGTAGAACTATAAGTGTGTTTTCATTTGCTTTTGTGTGTATTTTCTGTTTGTTAATTTTTAATTCAATATGTACATAATGTGTTTTCATGCATTAACTTGATTTATTTTCCCTGGCAAAGTGGTATAAGTCATATTAAACAGGTAGAAAAAAAATATCTCTGCACACACTGGTGATTAAAAACAATAAAAAAGTATGTTTTCACATTGCTTATAGTGAATTTGATTATTAGGAGGACACCAAATCTATGCAGAATGTTAACCACATTTGATTTTTATTTTTATTTTTTTGGTGGGGGAAGTTTAGGCATGTATGTCTGTATATGAATTTGTGATACCACCATTTCTCTATTTTTGGGATACAGTTTCTTTTCCTTTGGCATGGAGATATATACTGCCAAGGAGTCAGAATTCTGAAAATGTGCCTCTTCTGCTGCTGACAGTTGGGGACATTTTTGAAAGATGCTCTACTAAAAAGAATGTGCATGGTGGAGTCAGAACATTACATCTGGGAGCTTGAATAGAGAAACAACCACTGTAATTTAGTAATGAGCTGAATAAATTAGAAGAAATGGTGTCATAGCTGCATAGCCACGAAGTTCCATTCCCAGATCACCTACTCCTATATTTCCACAGACTTTCCAGAAGTCTTCAAGTTTCAGCATGTCACTTCTACCACCAGAAACTAGGGAGGAATGAGACCAGCTCACAAATGGATTGCAAACTGCAGTAGCAGCACCTTGTGTACAAACTATAACCTTGCTCTCCATACTCCTACCAATCTGTGTGCTTTGTTCAGTCCAAATCTGCTTACTTTGTTGTTGTGCAACATGCATAGACCAAAAGCTAATGAAGCGGTACATTGTCACCATGCACGACAGAATGCAGAGAATCCATGTATGGTATCTGCACTCCCCAGTTGAGTTCCATGTCAATCTACTATACATAGAGGGGACATGGGAAGTAGGGGTTGGACAAAATGACATGCAGGGGTGACAAGTGAATCCCACTCTCAGAGACCCACCAGCCAAATTCCCACATTATGTTAAAAAGTAAAGTGGATATAGAGGTTCAGAAAGCCCGTATGCTGCAGTACTAACCCTAGAGCATCTTAATTGCTACTCTGCAGGCCAGAGCTGGAGAAGTTTTGTCACCTATAGAACTTGCTTGCAGAAAGCCCATTTACTTAGGCTTTGTGCAGAGGAGAGGATTTCAGCCTTAGGAAGATAATGCTCAGAACACTATATTGGCAAATCATAATGGGAGCACTGATAGGATTCATTGCTGTTTGCACATACACTCAATCACAATCCCCTCAATCCTTTATCTGACGATATTACCATGGAACAAAGGTATCAGCACATTTTCATCTTTCCTTCCAATACAGTGAATACCTAGGACATTTCTAATCCAAGGCTCAATTTTCCTCGCATTGCTTCTTGATTCAAGATATTTCAGCACACGGCAATATAACTCTTATGGCTAGATATTTGAAACGTTTCATGCAAGTACATTTCTAAACTGCTTCACAAAACATTTACAGAAAGAGTACATATATTTATATGTGCACAACTATTCAGCATTTCTCAAACAGAGGTGGAGGGTGACTAGAACAAGGGGTGCACATTAAGTACACAACATGTATAAACAAAAATTGTGTGGGTAGCTTCCATTCAGGTCAGGCAACTTTAGATGCCTGAAACCCACAACTACTGCACAAAATATATAAATTCCCAAGACTGTATGGGTTATTCCTGAAGTGCTTCCTAAGCACTCATATTAGCTGATAAAATACCTCTTGTATCAGAAAAAGGATGATCTTTAGACTGTTTGGGGAACAAGGTCCCATGGAGGCAAATTCACCCATAGGTATTTAGTAGCTGCTCCACTTTTGATGACCTTGAGGACATGTTTTTAAGATATAGAGGGAAAAAAATTAGTGTGGATCTCTGTATGAAGAATTGAAAGGTAAAGCATCAAGGGCTAAATTCAACCTATAGATATTCTAGTCAAGGAGTTTAAAAAAACATGCAGGGGGGGAAAAAGTAAGGGAGGGCATTCCTTCCTATTTTCCTTCTCCTAATTAAATATATTTTTCCCTTGAAACTTTTCCTTGAAACTCTTAATTCCCAAGCAAGCCGATATATCTAATTGTTTATTCCCTCTCTTTCTTTATTCCTTCTAACACATATTTTGGTGTCATCTGTAATTCTAACAGACTAAATTGTTATGTTGCTTGTCAGTTTGCCTTAGCAGTTGGCTTGAT